CATTTTTTTTTTGTGTTTACTTGAATTGCCTTTCGCGCTGAAAACAACTCATAAACTTGGAAGTTGTTTGTCCCTGATTTTGCACATCAAATCAAAAGTATATATATATATATATATATATATATATATAGCCCATTTACAAACAGCCAATGCTTATCAAAGAGCTGAACAATACATTCCTTAGAAGATTATAAAATTATAAATATACAAAGAGTACAAAGAGTTGCAAAATATGTGAGTATAATTTAAAGCTATGTATAAGTTCCATTGTGGCTCAACATTGCAAGATATGAATAAACGTATAGATATTGTGTTCAGTTTAAGATTGCCACAGAGCGGCTATAATACTTGAATGATTTTTAAAAAGTGTTATTTTTTTGGATATTTGTTTTAGAAAAATTAAAATGCATTTGGTTAAAATCATTTCTTGCTCATTAAACTCAGTAAACGTATGTATCATATTGCACCGACCCGACACATAAGTTAAAAGTTCAAACCCCCCCGCTCCCATCTCTGTGTGGAGTGAGAGACAAATGCCCAAAAATAACAATTGTAAACCGCTTTGTGACTCTGGTCTGTGAAAGGCGGTATATAAATAAAGCTTACTTACTTACTTACTGGGGCGACAGTAGCTCAGTTGGTAGAGCATTGGCCTTAAGCCCAGAAGGTCGTGGGTTCAATTCCCACCTCTGCACCTTCTCCACCGACTCCCACTGATGACTGCTGTCGTTGTGTCCTTGGGCAAGACACTTAACCCCACTTTGCCCAAAAAGCCCCCACTGAACGATCAAGGCTATGCTCACACTCAGAGAGCAGCCGTCCTCCTGTGGACTCACCACCTGCAGAGGATCAGTGAGGGGCTGGTGCTATGAGACTTGGGTGGCATCTCTGACTGTCACCCCCCTGACCCAGAAATGGATTAAAGGGTAGAAAATGGATGGATGGATACTTACTTACTTAAAGACAACATTACATTATTAACATTACAAAAAATTACGTGTTTGTCCCATCGCAAAGAAAAAAGTAAAGAGTACAAGAGCTGTCTTTAGCTTAAATAGAAAACATTTAATCTTTAGCAAACAGAATAAATTGCCCTTGGAGTTACTATTTCACTCACTTTGGGCTGAAAGCCGATTGGCTGAGTGAGGGAGTTCTTAAGCTGATCTAAAGATGTGGCAGAGGCCAAAAATACACACATGTGAAAAGTAGTGATGGAACCCAAATGTATTTTCAGAATGAGGATTTTATTACAGTTTTTGTATTACATGTTTTGAGATTTGAAAGTTACATAACCCGGCTATAAGTCAATTGGAATTACCCACCCTTGATTAAAAGTAATTTATTTTTTGTGCTTTTGTGTCCACCTCCTGCATTTTTTATGAAGTGAGTTTGGGGGTAGCTCATTTTCATCAGAATTAATACTGTTCAAACAAAAAAGAGATTAAAATTTAAAAAGCTATTTTTCTTGCCCTGCCAGCCTTCCAGTACAGTTCCAAACCTAATCTATTCTTAATAAGAATCTAATTTTAGATTACTATAAACTACACTATTTTTATTCTCAAATATGCCTTGTAATCTATGCACTTGGATCTCAGTAATGCAGCAAGCTCTAGTCAAGTGCCTCGTCATTTTGTTATGGCAGTCATGTGTATGAATGTCTCTTCAACACTCTTCTGACCCTTCTGAAATGTGAGAGCAGGCTCAGCTGAGTTGCAGTGAAGAAAGTGCCAAGCGCAAGACCCAAGACATACAATCCCTCTTCACCACTGCAAGCTTGGTGAGAGACCTCTTTTGAACCCGCAGCTAGTTTACCTTCAGTCTGTAATTATGTTATGAATGGTATATAGTAAAAGTTCTTTTTTTGTGTGAAAGGGTTTGTAAATTAGTATTGAGTTGTAAGTTAAAGTTGATTTGGTTGGCAACAAATAATACTGGAAATTTTAAATGCCTGAATATTCTATTGATTTATTGAAAAATATCTGTATTAGTGGACTCATGGAGCTTAAGCGGAGGTTCAGGATGGTAGACTACCTACGTTATCACGCCAGGCTTGACCACGCCTTACTCAGCCTGTCTTAATCAACTCCCCGCAGCCGTGTCAATCAAGCCAGCGTTTAAGAGCAAAGCAGAGCACAGCTCACCAAACGGACTTCAAGCTGCAACCACCTCCTCCCCACCTCCGCCTCAGGATTTCTTCACTCTCACATTCACCTTGCCTTGTTGCCACCACCAGTGTCTAGGCCCCGGGGGATCATGATCTGCACCCAGGCGCAGATCTCTCCAGAGCACGGCCACAGCCGGGGCCTAAGCTCCAAACCAATAAACGAACTCAATCCATAAAATAAACAACTCTTAAACGCATCTCGTCTCTTGTAGTCTCTCCAGGTTGAACTAGGTTTTAACTCATTAATTAGGAAATAATGGCTAAATTTGATTACATACTTAATTCACATCGCTGTAGTCACCGTAACCTTGATTTATAATGTAACACTTTTGAACTCATTTATGTTGTTATCATATCATCGTCTGACTGTAATGTATAATGTTCAAAATATGTCTGCCTGTCTAAACCATTTTTCAAATTCTTGGTTGTTTCGGTTCATACTGTACTTCTCCAAAGCCAATGGAGTTTCTTGTATAACAAGATCTCAGTACACACACACGCACGCACACACACACACACACACACACACACAAACACACACTTATACATATACACTTACTGTACATATAAATATATATATTTATATACAGTGTATATATATATAATATATATATATATATATATATATAATATATATATATATATATATATATATATATATATATATATGTGTGTGTGTGTGTGTGTATAGTTTATTTCTCCTTGACATGTCAGATGCAAGTGAATATTAAAATGTTAAATTTTTTAAATGTTGTAGAGTGAGGTTCACAAGTAGTTGCACACCCTGCAATTTTGCAGATTCTCCTACTTTGAAATTAGGGAGCGGTCCTAAATGTTCCTTCATAGATGTATTTCCACCGTTAAAAACATAATCTAAAAAGAAAAATCCAGAAATCCCACTATGATTTTTTAAATGATTTATTTGTAAGTTCCTGGGGTTCATAAGTATTTGCACACAGGAGACTCAGCCAGAATTATGACTCTCAAAGAGCTGACAGTCCACTTAAAAAAAAAAAAAGTCCACCATTACTCCACAAGTAATCACTTATCCACCACTCATCAAAGCTCATGAAAGTCACCTGTACAGCCCACAGTCAGTCAAGGGCCAACTGCTATCATGAGCAAGACCAAAGAGCTGTTTAAAGAGACCAGAGACAAAATTGTAGAGCTCCACACAGCTGAGAAAAGGCTAGGGGAGAATTGGAAGGCAGCTTGGTGAGAATAGATCAACTGTTGCAGCAGTTGTTAGAAAATGGAAGAGGCTAAACATGAGTGCTAATTTATCTCGGACTGGGGCCCCATGTAAGATCTCTCCTCGTGGGGTATCACTCATGATAAGAAAAGTGAGGAATTAGGCCAGAGCTACACAGCAGGAGCTGGTGAATGACTTGAAGAGAGCTGGGACCACCGTTTCCAAGGTGACTATCGGTAGAACACTACGGCCTAGTGGTTTAAAATCATACATTGCATGGAAGGTTCCCCAGCTTGAGTCAGCCTATGTCCAGGCCTGAATAAAGATTGCCCAGGAACATCTGAATGATCCAGGGGAGACATGAGAGGAAGTTATGTGGTCATATTAAACCAAAATAGAACTTGTTTGTATCAACTCCACTCGTCGGGTTTGGTGAAAAAAGAAGCATGAGTATCATCCCAAGAACACCATTAGTTGAAGCATGGGGGTGGAAACATCATGCTTTGGGGGTGCTTTTCAGCACGGTGGACTGGACAACTATAGTGTTTGAAGGAGAGGGTGAACGGGGCCATTTATTGTAAGATTTTGGACAAAAACCTCCTACCCTCAATCAGAACATTGACGATGAGTCGTGGCAGAGCCTTCCAACATGGCAATGACTCGAGCATACAGCCAGGAAAACCAAGGAGTGGCTCCATAAAAAGGTTCTGGAGTGGCCTGGTCAGTCTCCAGACCTAAATCCTAGAAAATCTTTGTATTGCTCTGCAACAGCCCCAGATCAAGGGAAGATTTGTGTGGAGGAGTGGGCCAAAATCCCTTTTGCCTTGTGTGCAAACCTGGTGAAGAACTATAGGAAACATTTGACCTCTGCAAACAAAGGCTTCTGCAATAAATATTAACACTGACGTTTTCATGTGTGCAAATACCTATGAACCCCAGTAACATACAAATAAATCAATAACAAATATTTTTCACACAAAATTAAAAAAATCTTAGAGGGACGACAGTAGCTCAGTTGGTAGAGCATTGGCCTCTATAGGCCTGAAGGTCATTGGTTCGACTGCTCCCACAAATGCCTACTGTCGTTGTGTCCTTGGGCAAGACACTTAACCCCACGTTGCCTGAAGCCCCTGCTGAAAGAACAAGGCTGAGTCAAGAAGCCATCTTCCTGTGCACTCACCACCTGCAGGAGGATCAGCAAAGGACTGGTGCTATGAGCACTGGGTGGCAGCTCTGATTGCCACCCCCCGTTAGACATGAACTAATAAAGGGGTTGAAAAGTAATCAATGAATGAAAATCTTAGAATGTGATTTCCAGATTTTTCTTTTTAGATTTTGTTTTTAACAGTGAAAATATACAGTATATATGATGAACATTTCAGACCTCTCCATATTTTCTAAGTAGGAGAACTATACAAAATTGCAGCGTGTGCAAATACTTGTGAACCTCGCACAGGGGAAACATCCAGCAGATAAACCCTTGGTCATATTACTTTTCATAATTCTTACTCTCTGTTGGGACACATTTAGTTTGTATCTGCAGTTTTTTGATTCAGAATTAGTGATAGGACAACTGTGAAATGAACTGAACTCAGTATTTGAAGGAACCCTATTTGATTTCAAATATTATAAGTGACTGATGAGTCAACAGGCGGAAACCCCTGAGGGCAGTTCTGAGGCACATGTCAATGAAAACAGTGTCACATCGTAAAGTATTATTGTATAGACACAGGTTTAATATGAAAACAAAGGCCAAGTAACGGGATCATCATACAAGACTGAAATTAGTTTTTATTCATTCTTGAGTAAAAACATTTATAACTAACATTATTAATTTGTCCCTAATAATTCTTAACCTTATTTTTGTGTAATCTAGTGTGATAGGTCTGTATCATTGTGTAATATTATTACACAATGATATATTTTCTTTATAATATTATTATACAGACATAATCATTAATGTGTTTAGCTCACTGTTGGCCCCAACAAAGAAAAAGGTCCCGCCACAGAATTCAGTCTTCACAAAGTGACAAATGCGTGTCTATACTACCCCCAAAAAACTAACATTTATGTAAAATAATTGAAAACAACTTTGAAAAAGCTCTGTGCATGAATGTAATGTTTAAAGCCGGTTGTTTAATTCCATTACAAAACATGATAATAACCACACAGACAACTAATACAAAAAAAACCTGTTGTATGGTTCAGATTTTCTTTTTGTCCCATTTCTGAATAAAATGACTGCTCCTCCACTTGTATATCCAACAGCACATTGAGAAGCTGTAGAGGATGAAAAACGTTGTGAAATCGTAGTAGAAAAATACAAGAAAGAATCCCAGAACTAACAAGACACATATTAAAAGTCGAGTGATGTGAAAGATGACGTACAATATACTGCGCCACATAGGAACATCATTTAATATCCCACTTGATGCCCTTGGGTGGCTCTGGTGTGCTTTATTACAAACCTCTCCATGGGCCAGCTCGGACTCATCTTCTTTGACATTTATTTCTTCAAGTGTGTATGACGTACTCTTGGTTTCCGCAGATTTCTCATCGACTTGACCAATCGAGACTGATCGGATCGCCATTTCATTACATTGCGAAGTGTTTAGCTCCTTGTCAAGAAAAGCGCTTGTATTTGTAGTTGCCGTGAATTGAATTTCCTCATCCATATTCTCCCGAGTTAGATTTTCCTTGCAATCTGTTGGAAGTGTCTCTCCGTACTTACTGTCAATAGTTATGATAGGCCTCACAAAATGGCTGTCATCTCTTTCTCTTCCTCCTTCATCCTTCACGCTCATTGTGAATTGACAATCAAACGCCTCTTGCCACACCGTCCTAACCAGTTCTTGCCCGGATCTTTCCAGAAGCGTCTCGTCTTCCGCCCGCTCGAGTGCTACAGCTCCATCGTCTTTAATAGGGTTTTTGGTTCGCCCTGACAATTTTTGATATTCAACACGTGGAGTGCTCTCAACTTCTGCTGACAACTCTTGTTCATTCAATTTCTCCATTGCATTTTCGCTCTCCCCTGGAGGGTTCTCTGCATTACCCATCCACTCCCCGATTGCTATTTTCAGCTTTCCAATTCGCAGCCTTTCATCTCTGACTGCTTGACTGATATCTTCCGCGATTCCGTCTAATGTTCCAGGTTGGAGCGAGGCTGAAGTGTCTTTCTCTTTAAGTACAAGTTCTTCTGAGCTCAATCGACTGCCTACATCGTCTTCGCAAGCTGTTGCAACGTTGTGTGAATGAGTCCAACTTCTTTCTACCACCTCTGGGTTGTAGTCATCTGTGGCAAGAGATGAGAATGTATCACTTTGAAAGATCTCCAATGTTCTCGCTCTAGTCGAAAATGGTTTCTCTTTTGTCACCACTGATGGGGGGATTTCGTCGCAGGGCTGCTGTCTTCCCAGCATAATTTCACAACATCTTCCCTCTGTCTGTAATACTCTGTCTCTTGGCACATACAGCTCGATTTCAGTTGGATTTGGTTTCTCGCTCTCGTGTTTGTCATTTGCTATTTCATCTGGTTCCGGTGACCTTGTCTGACTATAATAAATATCTGGAAATTGTGATGCGTTTCCGTCGTAAGTGCATTGATTGCTTGAACCACTTTTTTCATGGGGGGCATTGACTTTCAGAGTTCTACATTCTGTGTCAATCTTGGACATTCCTACCCATTCGTCTATAACAGCATTGTCATTCAACAACACATCGTTCTTTTCCAAATTACATTTCTTTCCCATGCACCGACTTTGTAGGTTGTAAGCACATTCCTGCATCGCACACAACCCATCCAAACGTGACGTGACTGTCTCATTTTGCTCGCGTTGTCCTAATGAATCACACTCCCAGCTGAAATCCCGCGCCGCTCCTCCTCCTCCTCCACCATCCCGGGAGACTTGACACTTTTCTATTTCCTGTGCCCTAACTATTTCTTCTTTTTTAGAATCTTTATTTCCTGCACGGTTTGTTGTCAGCTCTTCCCGCGCGCCTTGTCTGCTGGCGGAAAAGACAAACCTCTCTGCTGTCCCCTGTCTCATTGTCTCCTTAAATGCCAGAGTGTCATCTGCCGTATTGTATGCAGTTGCTGTAACCTTCCCTTCCCTGCTGTAAGAAAGACCCCTCTGTGGCCCTGCTCCCCGCGAGATGCTATCAACAGCGCTGGCCTTCGCAGGCTTTGGCTTTGCTGTCATGTCTGTTGTCTCCGACTCCCCTGAGCTTGTTACGGAGTCAGCTCTGTGCATTGCGAGGGGCTCATCTTCACCTATTTCCCCCATTATTCCAGCCCCTTCTCGCTCCCAGATCTCATGCTCGCGACACTCACTCGGCCTGTCATCGGAGCCCTTGGACACAGGCTTTGCCCCCGAGACTCCGAATACCTGCGGAGTTTCTGTTGCTGAGTTTGTGTCTGACCTTTGGGGTGCATCGTGTGCGTCTGTGTTGTCATCCCCGAATTGGCCTGTGACATATGCAAGATCGGCTCCTGGCTTTTCCTGGGTTTTGCTGTTCAAGGCGACTGGTGATGTTCCAGCAGTGTCAGGCAGCGGGTGACGTGCGCTTGAGCTCGGCGCTGCTAAGTTGGGTGTATCTTGGCCCACGTGCACCTGCTTGCTAGGTTCGTGTTGTGCGAGGGTATTTTCATCATTTGACGGAGACATCGGCTGGCACGACGCCGAGACATCAGATTGTGTCACAAAGCCAGGGCTGTTTAAAAAAACCTGCCATGCATCAAACACAGAAGGTTCTATAGTTCCTTCTATCCCATTAGCAAAGGTTTCCCACATATTGTATACTGCAGCTGCATCTACCACTGGTGATTCTGACATGGTAATTTTAGGTCTTTCTGTCCACAGCTTGTCCACATCGTCATTCCCACTCCAGTCAAGTGTTGGAATCTGATGATACGTGTGGACCTGCATGTTTTTAGTTTGTGCTTTATTACTCTGACGGAGTGGGCCGCTCGAGTTACAGTGCGCAGATGAAATTGGCTGCGAGCCCTTTTGCCGCTGGTGTGAGTCATGTGGATATGTCCTCTGGGGACAGGGGTCCAGAGCACGTGCAGAACGCACTGCTCTGTGGCGGCTTTTTATGCTCTCCACCTGTCAAGAAAGGTCAAAAGATCAGACCAAATGTTTATGCTGTTTGAATCTGTTTGCTTAGTCAGCTGCTTAAAGCCAGCGCACAAGTAAGCCATGTATTTTGGAAAATGCAAATGAAATGTGTTCTACTTTTACCTCTAATACCTGTGCATTGAAATACAAATGATAGTTTTGGAACAGTTGACGTGGTTAAGACAGGTTATACTTTAACTACTACTTTTCAACAAGCAATGTATAAATTATTATGTAATACTATAATCTTATTATACTTAAGGTTTTCAGAATTACATCACAATTTGGCTATATATTCATAATTTCACATCCCGATTGTTACTGATGACATTACAAAAAATTTGTAAAAGAGAAAATGTGTAATTCAATGAACTTCTATGTGAAAATTAACAATAGCAGTCGTCTGGGCGGACTTTACCAAATGTGTCAGTTGTAAAATGGGCTCCAAGGAACACAGAACATACATTGTGATCAACTAAATAACAAGAATATTCTTTGATTCAGTTGAGTAAACCCTTTAAGTGTCGAAAAACCTTAAAATTTCCGTAGTTTGTGGTTTCATAAGTACAAAACTAATAATTATAAGCAAATAACGACTGTTTTACTTCTGGAAACAGTCAAATTGGGAAAATTATAAGAAACTATCATCTGCACTTTTAACAGTGGTTTATGAAGTAAGGTTCACAAACCACAAGACTTTTCAAAAATTGACCAAATGTAATCATACATTCAACAAAAGAAAAGCATTTTTATAACAATCTGAACAATGTTGGGTCTACTTTTGCCTAGATCCCCAACTAAGCAACAATGATGGAATTTCTAGAATGATGACATAAGCATAATAAAATAACAAATAAAATCCCACATCATGAATTCTACTGTAACTCACATGCAATGAACTGTGGGCATGCAATGTTATTCCAACTTTGCAAGCGTCATGTTAGCTGGCTATGCATCATTTTTGGAGCACTCCGAGTACGTGGCATTAACTTAAAGCGAGTAACAGCTGTGACATGTTAAAGCTTGCATTGCACACTACAGGAAAAACAAATATGACCTGGTTCAACTCACAGTATTTGTGTTTTCTTCAAGATGCAGTGATGACTTTGCTCTACAGGTTTGGTCAGACATGTCCGTTTTACGCGTGCACTCTGCAATATACACGATTCAACGTTTTACCATGTGTTAAATGCAGGCTGACTTGCAGATTTTGGCCCCTGACCCACATCCACATACCATTAATATATGCAGTACATACCTGTATCGTGTGTAGCTGCATTTAGTGTGTCTTTGATCTGCTCCTCTGCACTCTCTCTCCTGGGGGGGGTGAAAGTAAAGCACAACAAAAGACATTGTTGATGCATGCCTGAAAGGATTAAGTAAGTAGATAGGTCACATTGGTCCGGACGTCATGGAAACCTGGACAGGCGCCTGACCTTACATGGACAATAGGTTATCTTCTATTAAAGCAGGGGTACATAACTTTAGCGTTCATAAATAATACATTTTGTTTACCACAGGAGTGAAATGTTGCACTTCCTGTAAATGACACACACTTATTTTCACTTCTTAGATATCACTGTGTTTGTCTCCGTTATGACATATTTAATTGACATTTCCTATCAAGTGTTTGCATAGTTATTTGACAGAGCTTTGGGATGAAGGCTGAGTAAGTGTGGTCCACTATTTTTCACTTTTCTCTCTGACATAATAAGTTTCAGAGGCCAAAATTAAATGAATTTTTCTTGAGAGTGAGGGACATTGGCACAAACGTGATGAAATTGATACATTAAGTTATGTGTTTGTGTACACTATCTGAGACAGTACAGATAGTACGTATAGTAGTAACTGTACTTATAAGTGTTTTTTCCCAGTACGTTTTACTTCATTCCACATTAGAGCAGGAATTTGAATACATTGCACATGTATTTTAAATATGATGATGATCGAAGGTTATTTTTCCCAGTGCAGCATTAAGACCTGCAGGACAGTTTTAGTTTTGAGGGTAAGTTCAAATCAAGATAATATTATAAATGTTGATTATTGAAAACGGTTTAAGCCAGTTGTGTCTTATATCCATGTACGTGCAATAGTTTCATGTGATACTCTTACTAAGGTTTGATGATAAAATAGCCTCTCTTTCTATTCCATACAGTAGAGTAGTTTGAGAACACATTGTGTTCTACTGTTGACGAATTGTTTAACTCTGTCACCGCCAATGTTATAAATGTTCTGGACATCATCGCTCCTGTGAAGGTTAAAATGATTACAAATAAGCCAAAGGCCCCCTGGACTAAAATGGACTCAGTCATGGTACAGAAGAGAGAGTGCCGTAGGGCCGAGCGGAAGTGGCGAAAATCCAATCTCCAGGTTGATCATGAGATCTTCAAAAATGAGTTGTGCAAGTTTAACAAGGTGCTACGTAGAACAAGAAAAATTTATTTTTCTAAAACCATTGATGGCTGCAATAATAATCTACGACTTATGTTTTCAACAGTTAACGGATTAACAAACCCCCCTGTTCAGCTGCCATTCGAATTTGCTTCAGAATCTAAATGTAATGAGTTTGCACAATTTTTCAATGATAAGGTTCAGAGCATCAAAAACGCCATCACCTCCAAGGCAGAAATAACATTACAACAGCCGGTGAGGCTTTTTGAGCTATCGCACTTTGCACCAACAGATAATGAAACTGTCCAAGATGTTGTCTCTAGCCTTAGTTCCTCCACATGTAGCCTGGATGTACTACCCACTAAATTTTTTAAGTCTGTTTTGAGCAGTCTTTTACCTTTGCTCACACAAATAGTGAACATGTCTCTCTCATCTGGAACATTTCCAATGGCCCTGAAAACGGCAGTCATCAGACCCCTCCTAAAAAAGAGGAGTCTAGATGCCATAGTTCTTAAGAATTACCGCCCCATATCAAATCTGCCGTTTATGGGAAAAATTCTGGAAAAAGTTGCTTACCAACAACTTACAGAATTCTTAGTAACTAATAGTTCCTTTGATGCGCTCCAGTCCGGCTTTAGAGCCAATCACAGCACTGAGACTGCACTAGTGAAGGTTACAAATGACATCCGACTTAACACCGACACAGGAAAAGTCACAGTTTTAGTAATGTTGGATCTGAGTGCTGCGTTCGACACAGTCGACCACGAGATCCTCATGCAGAGACTAGAGCACTGGGTGGGTGTCACTGGGACTGCCCTAAGTTGGTTTAGGTCTTACCTAGAAGACAGGAAATACTTGGTTCAGATAGGAAACTGTGTCTCAGATCATATGGCTCTGACCTGCGGAGTACCACAGGGATCAATTCTGGGGCCTCTTCTGTTCAATATTTACATGCTGCCATTAGGTCAGTTAATACGCTCCAACAATGTATCCTACCACAATTATGCTGATGACACTCAAATTTATGTCTCACTTACTGCAGGAGAACATGGACCAGTGGAATCACTCCTTCACTGTACTCAACAGATTAGTGATTGGATGCAAAAGAACTTCCTTCAGCTAAACGCAGACAAAACAGAATTGATTGTCTTTGGTCCTCAAAAACAAAGAGAGGAGCGTTATTCGTCACCTCCAGTCTCTCTCCCTGGAACCTGTAGGCAAGGTCAGAAACCTATGAGTTATAATGGACTCAGACTTAAATTTTAACAGTCATATCAAATCAGTAACATCAGCAGCATTTTACCATCTGAAAAACATTGCCAAAATTAGAAACATAGTATCTAAATCAGATCTGGAGATTCTCATCCATGCATTTGTCTCCAGTAGGTTAGACTACTGCAATGGCCTGCTCACAGGTCTCTCCAAACAGGCTGTAAAACAACTGCAGTATGTCCAAAATGCTGCAGCTCGAGTCCTGACCAGGACCAGGAAATATGACCACATTAGTCCAGTTCTCAGGTCTCTGCACTGGCTTCCTGTGGCGCAGAGAATAGACTTCAAAGCAGCACTGCTTGTGTACAAGTCTCTCCATGGCCTCGCACCAGGTACTTAAGCGACTTGTTAGTGCCATATGAACCGGCCCGGACTCTGAGGAGCACAGGAGGTAGCCTCTTACTGGTTCCAAGAGTCAGAACTAAACATGGGGAGGCAGCGTTTGAGATTTATGGAGCTAAAATCTGGAACAATCTTCCTGAAGATGTGAGGCTAGCATCTACTCTGGCAATTTTCAAATCAGGGCTAAAAACTATTCTTTTTAGCTGTGCATACGGCTGAAGGATTTTATTGATACATACTCTTTTTTTTAATGCATTGTGGTTATTCATTATTTTAATCCCGTGTGTGCTTTTAATATTTTAAGGTTTTTTTCATTACTTGTGATTTTATTCTGTTTTTAATGTATTTATTGTTTGTATATGTAGTTTTTGATGTCTCTGATTTGTCTGATATTATGTGGGTTGTGAGGCGCTTTGAGTGGCCTTGTGTTGGAAAGGCGCCATACAAATAAAGTTGATTGATTGATTGACAGTAGCATGCCACTTCATGTATTTGTAATCCACTGCAAAGGCAACAGCAGAGGCATCCTTTTTAGCTGCCAAATTCTGCAGAATGGTATGCTTGTTGTATACAGTACGGCACACCTAATATTTTAACTGTATTTTAGCATCAGGACCGTGCAATTTCCCATGCGCTACCTTTTTTCTACACATGCCTACCTGTTGACTTTGAGACAGCTTTTCTTGCTCTTACAATCACAGCTTTCATCTTGAACCGGAGACTCATTCTCTTTTACCTTCTGATGGCAGAACAGAACATAGTTCATGTGGCAGTTGTTGGACCAGAAAACCCCCCCGGACGTCTCGTAGCGTAGACAGAACTCCACTCTTGTTCCATCTTTATCAAAAGGAGGTATGAGATGGTACAGAAAAGCAAATTTGTCTGTTTTTCTGTCACTCGACCCAGGCACGTAGTCAGCCAGGAGGTCAAAATGGCTCTTCCATCCATCCAGTGTGATTCGAGCATAAACCATCTTACTGTAACATACGTTCAACACGCGCACGATCCCACGGAGAGTTGTCGTTTTGGGGAGAAGCTCAATGCTTTCTAGTTCCAGCATTTGCATCTGGACTTTCCTTTCTAGCTCTTCGGGGGTTGCTGGGACTGTAAACAAGCAGCACATGTAAAAGTCCTCAGTGGAAATGACCTCCTCCCACTCGCAGCTCAGGCTTGTGTCCGAATCTGCTGTATCTGCATTGTCAAATTCCTTCACCGAAACCAAATTCAGACCAAAAGCATCTGCAAATGACACCTTTCTGCGTATGTTTGGGGGAGGTTGGGGTTCTTCATCCTCATCGTCATCGTCTGTTGAGCTGTTATAGCCTTTCATACTTTCAACTTTGTCAATTGTCTCCATGTTCAGCCGGTTGAGTTCGGTGGGTTGGATGCATAGAGCCATGATGTCCCTTGGCTCTCAGACTTTGCTGGTGTCCGGCCTGTGGAGAGGCACAGAGTGAAGTGGCCCCGACCCGGCCTTGTGGATACTGTAGCAGGCAGAGCCCAGTGGCGGACGTGACTTGACAGATGGAGTTCGGTTACAGCTGAACATTGTGATTCCCAGCCAGGCCTATTAATAAAGCCAGTATACGTGACCACGGCTAGACGTCTGTTGTATAACTAAATGTTTGCAGTTTGCGTTTATCAACAGAAGGAAAGAACATTTACACATTTTATAGTATTTGTGAGCGCTTTCAATAACATCAAATCCAGACTTGCAAAGATGTTTAGACCATCTGCAGGGAACTGTTACAATATGTTTATGTAAGTAAGACAGCGTGACAAGCTTAGTTTATCTGGCCTTGATAAATACAGTCATTATGAAATACTACTGGGGGATACTCTGAGTCACTGGTCCTAAAATTAGGGTCCAGGGCCCCCTGATGGACCACAGAGGCACTACACAGCCACCCTATGATTATCGCATGAACAAAATCAACTTCACATTATTCAAGTCATAATGAGATGAATAAGAAAACTCTGAAAATTAGAATGTTGTTCAAAAGTTGTGAAACCAACATCCTTACAAGCAAAGTGACATATGCAAAGTCTTTTTAAGTAAGTAAGTAAAGTTTATTTGTATAGCGCGTTTCACAGACCAGTATCACAAAGCTCTTCACATTAAACAAACAAAAATTATACACATATATATTTGTTTGATGATTATAGCTAACAGTTCATTTTACAAATATTCTACTTTTATGAGACTATTTGGGGCTTTTTACAAGCTGTGAGCCAATTATCAAAAGTTTAACAAATACTGTGAATTATATTGTAATTTTACAAGTGTTTTCTGTATTACTTTAAGAAGGTAATGGACCAACATGTCTATGATTTAAAGCTGGGCTACATCACGTTTTTGTTTTCAAAAATAAATGTTGGGAAGTATTTGCACTCAGTAATCTGTCTTCATCCTATTGTTTCATTTTTTATTTTTTTTCTAAATGTTCCTTTGGTTTATTTTGAGTTGTTCCTTGCAGATGCAGGAAGGTCTAAGGACAGTGGTGATGATCCAGGACATTTAAGGAAATGTATGGACTATTATTAACATTTATGGACATTGGTCATCCACCCCTTATGGACCAATGGCTCGATGTGGTTTTTTACGTTATTATTATAGATCCATGCTTTTATTTTTGTTACATTTCTTGTGTTTGAACTATTTTCTTATTTTCTCAAATCTGTGTTGGTGAATCAACAACTTTGTTAAGTCCTCTGAGATAACTACTCTTGTGATTTAGGGTTCTACAAAAATACATTGCATTGAAATGATTGACTGAGTGGGTGTATTTGGATTTAACTGTGATATACCTGGAATTTGTTTGATGCGGTACAGAAAGCCATACACACAAAGACATATATACGCACAAACGCACACACACACACGCAAACGCACACGCACGAATAGACAATCTTTATTCCAACGACGCGAGTATGTAGGTGAAGTCTAATGGTTTTTTGACCAAGGAGCAGAGACCAAAGTGAAATGTGATCGTTGTCTTTGCAATGCTTAAAGTGACCAGTAGGTGACAGCAAACTATCACAAGTCTGGCATGTGCTTTCCTTTCACCAGACACGTTTCATATAATCCTTTTTCCGACTTTAGACTTCAATATTTTTTAACAGTAACATAAACAAGTCATTTTTACTCGTTTATGTATATATGTTCTTTTATTGCACCATTGTAAAATTAAGAAAAGTAGAATATTTGCAGACGCTGTTCCATTTTATCATGGCATGTTTTATATTATGATTGTCCCCCCTGATTATTTTGTAGAATAGTTCGAACAGTATAAATTTAAAAAGTACATCCATTTTTCAAACAGCTAATTTCTGAGATGTTTTTATTTTTATTTTTATTTTTTTTTTCAATTTAGAACAATGAACAAAGATTCAAATGTTGTCCCAGATAAATGCATTCACATGTATCTGACCAGCACATCATTACAATGAATATGCATGAAAACGTGTAATTAGTGTTTACGGTGCACTCCACACAATCTCTTTTGGGAATGAGCGTTAAATCACTTTGAAAACATGTAGTGGAAATAAGAGTCATAGTGAGTGTACATTACAGTAATATGAACCGTATACTGCAATACAATAGCCATGAAATTCGAAACATAAAACAATTCTTTTAAAATAAACAACAACTGTTGAATTAAATAATGTTACACAAATAAATCAAAATATAATGTAGATAAAACATTCATTTGGTCTTATTTTTTGCCTCTACAGACACCATGTCTATTTACAATGTACATGTATAATCACGTATAAAATCACATGCTGTGGAAAGCGTAATAAAACTCGGTATAATATAAATAGCCCCCTTGCTTAGCCAGTTTTTAGAGAATTATTGTTTTAATAATGCATACAACTGTTTCTCCTTTGTGCGCACCTCATTTGTGTAGGTCATACATTTCGCACTTTTATGCATTATTACCTATATCTATTAAGCAAATGTGATACAGAAAATACACACCTTTAAATAAACTATGTTTTAAAGCATATACCTTAAGCTGCCCCACTGTTCAAACCACGACATTTTTTGTATAAGGATTGTTGTAAGGAGTTCTCCACATTGACCTATATGAGATCAAGATTCAGAACTAGAATCTAATTGGACTTATTGAAAAACGTCCAAACCCACAGAAACGTACACAACAAACTTTCCAAAATGTCCTGCTCTTGTTTACCAAAGCAGGTGTTTTTTTTCCTTCCTTTTTTGACATCACGTGGGGTCGCAGTACTCCCAAAAATAATAACACCACGTCCGCGCACGCAAGCAAGCGCCTTCCCCGAGGGCTTCTATAGTCCCAAATACACTTGCATGCTGGCGTGTTTGACTCGTAAGGAGGAAAGAAGAAGAAGAAGAAGAAGAAAAAAACAAGAGGCGCTTTTCCTCGCTGGCATTGCGCGTCATCCAAGCAGCGCGGTGTGTGTGTGTATACGGCTTTCTCCAGTGTTGCATTAGTAATAACAGCGGCGTGGAGTGACGGCAGAGACAGCGGTGCCCAGCGGAGGAATTCCAGCCTTTTTTATTTACTCTTGTTGTTGAGCTTTTCGGTGCGTAATGCTGAACTTGGACAGTCACGTGTGAGCAAGTCCCCAGCAGCAGACATCGGAGCGAGCGCGATCTGCACCTGCGTGTCCTTTTCCACAGGTCCAAGGAGGAGATTTATCTGACATTTGTTGTGGTAAGTTTTTTTCTCAGCTTCTGGACAAGTGCGCGCAATGCCACTTTCCACTTGAGTTCAGTGTAGATTCTTTTTGCGGGGGAAAGAAGCCGTAACTTTGTTCTGCTTTTTACGCGTGGTGTTATTTTAGTTTTTTTACACTTTCGATTGGGTATCACCGGGTAAATACTTCACCTTTAGCTTTGTGTTTTATAGTCAGGACCTTCTGTCTCTTCTGTAGTGACTTCTGGCTTTACGCGCTTTAGTTTTACGCACACTTTTGCAGCGGGCATGCCTCTTCCTATCCGCGTGTGTGCACATTGTTTTATGTCTTTCAATTTCTGTTAATAATTTCTTAAGAAGTCGTAAAATATGCACATTGATTTTGAAATGTCATTTTTGCTTATTGCATCCAATTCTATCCAACATAACTTTTATTTATTTTAACTGAAAACGTTCATATTCTCCCTGCTATGTTGAAGCATATAAGAGTTTTAATACAGTATGAATAAACTGGAACTTTACAAATTGATTATCTCCTGCTTTAAAATACAAAGTAACTTACACAATTATAAAATGGCAAAACTATAAATTGCAGTAATTATAATCTGCATAATTAGATCTCACGTAAGCTTAGCAGTCATAACCGTACCTTACCTGCATCCTTGCTTCTCCCCTTCCAAAATCCATCCTGGTGGCTTTTCATTTTGTAACTTCTGATATTTAACTGCTACTAAAAAATGAAACCTGTTCCAAACCCTGAAAGATTTTGCCTTTCTCTCCCTGCCTCTGTCTGTGTCCAGCCTGAATCTATTCTAAGCTCTGTAGACCTGAAAAAAAAAATCAATACATGTGACATTTTTTGGTGTGGTTAGGCGGCTGCATGGTGGACTCCCTGGGCCTGTCCTGGTGTGTGCATTGGAGCCTCCTTGTTGGAGCCTCAGGGTGCACAGGTGTTCCCCTCCTCAGTCATGCAGGTGTGGGCCAGTTCCCCCCTCACTCAGCAGCTCTCACTCTTCAAAGACCCGGCTCCAATAAATGCCCCCTGTGAAATATGTCAGCGACAGTGCACAAGCCGCCCCTTTGTTCCACTGCCCTTGTAATTATTTCTTAAAGCATGTTATAACTGTTCCCACTGACCTGTTTACGTGTTTAGTTGTTGGTCAAGTGGGGTACCTATTTTTTTTTTTGGTGCAAACTCTGATATATGTCTAAATATGTAATAATAGTCTCTCCCAAACACAGCGTATAGTCAGGAGCCGAGCACTTATTACCCACAGTCTCCCCACGCTGCATCCATTCTTTGATTGCTGCATTCATCATCGGCCGATCGTGCTCTACATTATGGTAATTGGAAAATGAATGTCCTCCACAGGATTAATGTGTATACCTTGTCATATGTTTCAATCATTTATCAAAATTAAGATTCAGCTTTCAGCCCGATGAGCAATGGTTGATGCATGATTTTATCTATATATGGAAATAGTTGAGCAGCTTTTTGCAAAGATGATGTAGTTGCAATGTTGGAACTTTCTGTGCGGATTGTGTGGGGCAAGCTGTTTAGGGATTTATAGGGCTGGAAACCTTTGCAGTCTGGAGCACTCGGCATTTCTCCTGGTGCATTTTCCTGATTATATAGAATGACTAACTTTTTCATACATTTTGATATTTTTTGAGTGGCTCTGCTGCATTGTAAACTTTTGGAGTGCGTCGAAAGCATTCA